AATTTTGTTTTGGGGCCATACCTTGCTGTGCTCAGGGCTTAATCCAGGCTGCGTGCTCAGAGATCACTCCCGGTGGTGCTCAGGGGACCCTCTGTGGTGCCAGGAAAGGAACCAAGGTCGGCTGCATGTAAGGCAATTGCCTTCCTGCTGCTCTCTGGTTCCCATGTTGGGACAATCGTTTACTTGTTCTGGGCTCAGACTTTCCTTTCTAAATTTTTTTTGAGGGTCACACCCAGTAATGCTCAGGGGTTACTCCTGGCTCTGCACTCAGGAATTACCCCTGGCAGTGCTCAGGGGACAATATGGGTTGCTGGGAATCGAATTTGGGTCGGCCACGTACAAGGCAAACGCCCTACCCGCTGTGCTATCACTCCAGCCCCAGACTTTCTTTTCTAGTGGCTGACTCATTCATGCCTGAAATGTTCCCTTCCTGATCTTTGGCTACACAGTATTTGAAATCTTTATGATTTGTGGTTTCAGCCCCAGCACTCACTGTATAAATAAGGATTAGACCAGGCTAGGGCATACTACAGTGGCCTAAGAAGAAAATTTATTTCTTCTTCCACCTATAGGTGATCCACAGGGATTCAAGATGGAATGAGGGGCTGGGTAGGAGGCTCAGTGGTAGAGCACTTGCTTTGCTTGTACGAGGTCCTAGGTTCAATCTCTTGCACCACCAAAAATAAGTTAAAGACAGAATAGTTTGGGTACCTCAAGATATGTCAAGATGTCCATTTTCCAGGGGTGTGTTAGTAAATCAGCTATCTGAATCGGCATACACTGGTTCTAGCTCACTTCTGATTTATCATTCTGCTCCCCTCCATAGTTACCACATTACTCAGCATGGCTGCTTGGATTCCAGCCATCACATACCTATTCTTGCCAGTAGGGAACACACACACACACACACACACACACACACACACACACACACACATGGCCATGTGCTGTAAATCACACTTAGTGCTCTCACATCTTACTGATGGAATCATTCTTATTTTCTTCACTCTTGGTCATTATGTACCCAGTGCTGACCAAATGAACAATTCTACTGAGGTAACGGGAATGTTTATGTTTTCCCTGGGGATAGGGCAAGGGCCTCAGGCTGCCTACACCATTTTACTGCCAGAAAGAGGAAAGGTGTCTGGCACCCAAACTCTCCTTGTTAAACCCAGCTCAGAAATGAGTTTGTAAGCAAGTCATTGCATTGTTTTGTTCTTTGGATCTCCCAGGTAAAGTTCAAAATCTTGGATACCGCTCCAGCAACTCTGAGCTAACTGAGCCAGGACTGGTGAATGACATTGCTTGGACACTGCAGAACTGGAGGCCACTAGGAATACCTTGTTAGTGCTTGTACCCACATGGTAACAGAGACTGAACCTGGGGCCCAAGCAAATGCTCTGGCCTTTGGAAAATTTTCCCTGATGCCTACATCAATTAAAAAAAAATTGTTTGTTTGTTTGGTTGGTTGGTTTAGGGCCACACCCAGCAATGCCCAGAGGTTACTCCTGGCTCAGGAATCACTCCTGGCAGTGCTTCGGGATTACTCCTAGCTCTGCACTCAGGATTGACTCCTGGGGGTGCTTGGGGGACCCTACAGGATGGAGGGGATGGAGCCTGCATCAGCTGCATGAAAGGCAAATGCTCTACCCACTGTACAATTGCTCCAGCTCTCCTATATCAATTTCTGAGACTCTGACTTGTGGTCCTGTGGATTTAACATCTTATCCATCCCTCTCTCCCTCCCTCCAACCTTCCATCCCTCTCTCCCAATGTTTCTCTCTCTCTCCCTCCATCATCCTCGTAGCCTTTACTGTGCACACACAGTGTGACAGATACATTCTTGCTCCCGCAGAGCTGAGGGCCTGGGAGGCGAGATGAGGGGCTGGATAGCAGATGGCGCTCGCAAATGGGCCAGCAGCTGGATTCCAACCCAGGGACATCAACCCAGTGGCTCTCTGAAGTCACTGATGTTCAGGCAGGAGAACCATCTCATCTTGCCACTGTTCCAAGGGCTTGCCACAACTGACCAGTCACAAGTGGACACTATCTGGTCACTGCTTTGTCACTGCTGAGAACCAGGAGGACCTGGACTTGGCTATGGACACTCCCAGGCAGGAAATGACTAATTTCTCTGCTGGTAGAGGTGAGTGAGGAAGGAAGGGTGAATCAGCAAGCCTTATTCACAGAACTGCTCCTCCCCGTGCTCATGGGCTGCTCCTGGCAGTGCTTGGGGGACCGTGTGGGGATGGGTTTAAATCTGGGCCTTCAGCATGCAACCATCTGAGCTATTTCCCATGTCTCTAAATAACCCCTTTCTGCAGGACTTGCATCACACTTTACAGTGCTCAGGGGTTACTTCTGTCTCCATGCTCAGGAATCATTTCTGACAGTGCTTGGGGGGCCCTATATAAGTTCAGGGGATCAAACTGAGTTCTACTGCAATGCAAAACAAATGCTTCACTCCTGTACTCTTTCTACAACTTGAAATAATTTATATTTGCTTTCTTTGTTTGAGGGGCTACACCGGGTGGTGCTCAGGGCTTACTCCTGGCTCTGTGCTCAGGTATCACTTGTGGTAGTGCTCTGGGACCCTAAGGGATGCTAGGAATGGAGCCTGGGTCGGCTGCACACAAGGTAAATGCCCTTCCCACAGTACTATAATTCAGGCCCCAGTGGTTGTTTTTAAGATACAAAGTTTGGTAAGGAGTTGAGGGTGTGGAAGAGATGTGGTCACTCATGGCACAGCAAGAGTTAACAGATGACTTGCTGGAGTGATAGTAGAGCAGGTAGGGCGTTTATCTTGCAAGAAGCCAACCAGAGTTTAACCCCCAGCATCCCATATGGTTCCCAAAGTACCACCAGGAGTAATACCTGAGTGCAGAAACAGGAGTAATCCCTGAGCATTATTGGCTGTGACCCCAAAAGCAAAAAAAAAAAAAAAAAGAGTTAACAGATGACTCTTGGGTTCTTGGAGAACTTTCTGGACCCTTTGATTGAATTCATCCACAAGGCACTACAGTGTACTGCACTTGCTTGGAGCTCAAGAGATTTGAGACCCTAGAGGTGTGGAAGGGTGGAAGGATGTTGAAAGAAGCCATGCCAGCTGCTGTGACTAATCCCACTTGGGGCTGGCCCATCCTACAATTTTGGCTTCCTGAAAATTCCTGGGCTTTTTCTGAAAAATAGGAAGTTAACAATTGTTCATCATAAAATCTTGTCCCGATCTTAGGCTCAGAGGGAGACTAAGATAATGAGCAATACCCAAGGCAGGTGACCAGAAAGACAAACCAGCCAGACCACCCTGTAGGTTCCCTGCATTCCCTGTCACACAAAGACTTGGTTTTCCTATAACAATCTCACCAAAAGAGTCATAGTTAACTTAGTCCTATACTAAGTTCCTCCCCACTAGGCAGCTCCTTTTCTTTTCTCTTCTACGTTCCAATAAACTTTTCTACTTTCCAACTCTGAGACTGAGCATCTTTATTACTCAACATTTTCATTTTTGAAAATATTGAAGAACCTCGAAATAGCGAACAGAGACTCGCTGCTCTTTCTGCCTCACCTGCATCAGTGTTGGCAGCTGGCAAGAGAATCGACCCCCCCCAACCCCCAAGGAGATGGGGAAAAAGGATCAGTCAACGGCGGGGTTTGAGGGGCTGGCAAATCCCCCTTGCAACTTTATCTTGTCTCCAGTCCGACGTTTTTTTCCCCACTCTCACAGTGCAGACTCGCAGACAAGTGCTCCTGTTTCCACAGCACTCGCCTTATCTTCTGTTTCCCCTCCTGTGGATGGTGTAAGAGAGAAAGAATAAGACTCGTTCATCCCCACAGTGGGTTCACAGGAGCAGCCACTGTACCTGCACTGTCCTATGTCCCCTTACACCGCCCCTTTGAGATGCTATCACGAGTCCTGCTTCCAGATGGGGCATGGATCCATAAGACTTCCCTCTGCACCCCCCCAAACCCACAAGCCAGCAGATGGGCAGAGTTGGGGGGCTCCTGGGCTTATGATGAACCACAGGGATCGTTTCTGGTTTCACCCATGTAAGGCACGTGCCCTTCTCCTGCAGCCCTGTGCCCAGTTGGCTGAGGCTGATTTTTGTTTTATTCAACTTGGGGGTGGAGTGGGGCATGCCTGGCAGTGTTCAGGGCTTCTTCCTGGCTCTGCATTCAGGGATCACGCCTGCAGCTCGGGGGACCCTGTGAGGTGCTGGGGATAGAACAGGGTCTTCAGGGTGCTTGGAACAAATGCCCTCCCTGCTGAACTGTCTCTCCAGCCCCATCAAGTTATTGTCAGTATGAGGGGTGAAAGAAGATGGGGGAGGGGACTGTTGGTTTCCCCTGGGACCCCCACCCCATGGATATGGTGAACACAGTGCTTCCTGTGCTGCCCTCCTCCCCCCACTGCCCCCAAGTCAAGTCAACATCTGCTTCAGATGTTTTTCAAATTCATTTCTGGACTTGGGCGAGAGCTCGGCAGGCTGGAGCCTTATCCTTCCTGTTCAGGAAGGAGGCAGCAGGAACACCACTGGGTGTAATTCCAAACCAAAAAAGGAAAAAGAAATCTCCTTCTTGTGGCCAAAGTGACAGCACTGCAGGTAAGGTGTTTGCTTTTCTTGCAGCTGACCTGGGTTCAATCCCCAGCAGCCCATATGATCCTCTGAACACTGCCAGGAGTGATCCCTGAGTGCAAAACCAGAAGTAACCCTGAGCATCCATCACCTGGGGTTACACAGCTGGGTCTGACCCTAAAACCAATTAAGAGAAAAAGGAATAAAATCTTCATGCCCTGCCACAGTCCAGGAAGCAGGAGCTTTTAGTGTCATCCCCATTTTGCTGATGGGCACACATCGGTTACTCTTCTCCTCTGATCCCCTGGGACCTCATCATCCTCTCTGAGGAAGCCCCAAGGCCCTAGGCACGCCTTTGGCTTGGCTTCTGTGGCGCGGGGACCCCAGGGGAGTCTGGCGAGAGATGGTAGAGGGGGCTGGAGGTACCTTTTCCACTGGTGGGCGGCGAAGCCTGCGCTCACAACCAACGCCACAGCCCCCAGAATTCCCGCCACGAGTGTGCCAATGGCTGGTCCTCCGGTCAAGTAATAGTTCTCAAACGGGTCCGGTCCTGCAGGGTTGATGGGCTCGCCCTCTGCAGACAAAGCAGAGGTGCAACTGGGTTAGACTCCTTCTGCCAGCCCTCCCCCACCTGCTCTCCTGCCTCGGTTTCCCCCGCAGAAGCCAAAGTTTCATCCTGACTCTGTCCTCCCTCCCTAGGGAGAAGGTCCCTCGACTTTGCCTTCAAGTCCCTGCCACCACAAGACCAGTTTTGTCTCCCTCCATGCCTGCTCCCCCCACTGCCTTTTGTTAACACAACCCACCAGCCCTGTTCTACTGTGGCACTGCACTGTAGCACTGTCCTGTCGTTCATCGATTTGCTCAAGTGGGCACCAGTAATATCTCCATTGTGAGACTTGTTGTTACTGTTTTTAGCATATCAAATACGCCACAGGGAGCCTGCCAAACTCTGCCGTGAGGGCAGGATGATACTCTTGGTAGCTTACCGGGCTCTCCGAAAGGGGTGGAGGAATTGAACTTGGGCCAGCCGTGTGCAAGGCAAATGCCCTACCTGCTGTGCTATTGCTCCAGACCACCTGTTCTACTAAAGTCTCTAAACTCATTCCTTTTTCTTCTTACCTACTTCCAAGACTTTGGCTCCTGCAAGGACATGCATGCCTTACCCTTGACTTAGATAATTCTTATGTATTTTAAGCTAGCTTGATACCCCACCACCACCACCACCACCAGAAAGCCCTCCCTGACTTCTTTGTTGGACCCAGTGCTTCCCCATTGAGTCCCTCGATGGATCAAGAGTCTTCCAAAAGTGACTGGGGCCTTCTTGGTCACCAGAGGGTTCCAAACACCATGAATCGTAGCTGGGGTCATTTTAGCATTCAATAAACACTTTTTTTTGAGGGGTTGGCGGGTGGGGTGGGTTGGGATCACACCCAGAAGTGCTCAGGGCTTACTTCTGAGTCTGCTCTGGAATCACTCCTGGCAGGGCTCAGGAGACCATATGGGGTTCTGGAGGTTGAACCCAAATTGACCACGTGCAAGGCAAATGCCCTGCCTACTGTACTATGGCTCCAGGCCTCTATAAACAATTCTTGAAAGAATTATTTACTGAACAATGTGTGGGGGTTAGTCCTGGCTCAGGTGCCAACCTCAGAAATGCTCCTGAGGACCACGCGGTGCCTGGAATTGAACCTGGGCCTCCAGCATGAAAGTCTACACCCAGCCCACTGAGCTCTCTGCAGGCCCACTTCTGCATTATTTTCTCTTCCTCATAAGCACCCCGCAGAGAAATACATGGTGACCCACATTATACAGGGACACCCACTTTATGCACAGGAGGAAACCAGCTCCAAGAAAGAGCTGCACTAGTCTTAGGTCTCTGATCCGGAAAGGCACAGGCATGTAAACCCACTTTCAACCTGCTCCCCAATTTCATTTCTTTCCCTTTTTCTTTGCTAGTGACTAAACCCAGGTCTCACACAAGTAAAACATGCATGAATCACCGAGTCCCATCCTGGTCCCTCCAGGCCCGTTTCTGTGATGACTCAGGGCTCCCCACAGGCCGCTGCACAGGGTAACAGACGTGACACTGATAAAGACAATAATCTGGTGTGTGGTAGCAATGGCACCAGCTCTCCCTTACTGAGCCTGCTGATGTCTCTTCTAAGCCATGTCCTGTGGAGCTCCGTGGATGCTCCCTATTGCACTTTGAGGTGGGTGCTATTGTCTACCTGCCACCCTGCCCCCCACAATTTTGCAGATGAGGAGACCCAGAGGAGTCAAAGTCTGGAGTCACCCAGCCTGGAAGTGGTGGAGCCAGAACTCAGTCCCAAAACCGATGCTTGGAACCATGTGTCCAGGTATGATGGTCTGCATCTATACTTCCTTCTAGAGGCAGGGCTGACAAAGAGGGACCAGGGTCTTCTCAAGATCGCACACAGCCAGCACACGGTTGGGACAGGAGTCAAACAGCCAGGGTCAGTCCCTAGTCTGAGTTGTAGTTTTATCCTAGGCTGAGCTGTAGTTTTCTTGAGATCATCTTTTTGGACCACAGACTCCCATCTATAAAAGGAGCTAATAAACCTCACTGTCTCTTGAGTGGAAGGATCAGATTTCCTTTTTTAAAATTTTTGTTTGCTGGTTTGCGGGCCACATGTAGTGATGCTCAGGACTTCCTCCCCCTTTTTTATTTGTGGGGGGACACACCTGACGATGCTCAGGAATTACTGCTGGCTCTGCAATCAGGGATCACTCCTGGTAGTGGTCAGGGGACCATATAGGATGCCGGGGATTGAACCCAGGTTGGCTGCATGCAAGGCAAGTAAGTGCCTTACCTGCTGTACTATCACTCCAGCCTCCTCAGGGCATCCTCCTGGCTCTGCACTTAGGAATCATTCCTGGTGGTGCTCAGGGAACTATATGGGATGCCGGGAATTGAAACCTGGGTTGGCCACACGAAAGGTAAATGTCCTTCCTGCTATCCTATCTCTCCAGACCCAGGCTGGGGCGATTTCTGAGTTACATTGGGTCTCATGGGCAGCTGTGTGGCTCCAGGGTCCAGCCAGGTGAGAGAGAGGCAAAATCACAACTCCCCAGAATTTGATCCCCACCATTCCATGATCGCCTGAGTCTCACCAGAGGGTAGCTCCGGGGACCCCTGAGTACTGTGGGGTCCAAGAAGCATTGGCTTCTCAGGTTCTTGCATTAAATCTCTAACCCAGTGGGCTGGGAAAGGCCTTCAGCCCCCTAAGCACCATGAGAACCCCCAAGTAAAAGGCCCTGGCAAGCTGGTTCTTGGCCTGTGTGTTGCAAGGGTCTGGGTGGGGCTGAAAACTCACCCAGCAGCATGAGGTTCAGAGGGGCTGAGGAAAACTGCTCCATGCCATTCTTGGCCTCACACACGTAGCTTCCCAGATGCTCCTGGGTCAGCCTCCGGATGAGCAGAAGCCCACCGGTCTGGCACAGCCGCCCATTCAAGGTCCACTTCAGCACGGCCTGGGGGCCGTTCATGAGCTCACATTTCAGCACCACTGTGTAGTTGGCCTCGCTCTGGATGACGCCATTGACATTCTTTGGGAATGTTGTCAGGAAAAACCTGGATGAGGAGGCTGTGCCCACAGGGAAGACACAGGATTGGACAACACTGAGCACTCTGCCAGCCCTCATCATTCATTCATTCACTTATTCATTTATTCAACAGAGTCAGAGAGAAAGGACGGGGGCGGGGTGGGAGTAAGGCACTTGCCTCACAGGGAGCGGACCCTGATTTGAACCCCAACATCATACATAACCCCCTGAGCACTGCAGGGGTCACTTCTGAGCACAGAGTCAATAACATCTGAGCACTGCTGGGGTAGCCCAGGCCCCAGAATCATTCATTCCGTACACCCGGGGCCTGGAGTGCCTCTGAGGCTAGAGGTCAGTTACAGCAAAATGTGTGTATATCTGTATGTTTGTGTGCATGTATGCACATGTATGTGTATATGTGTATATATGTGCATGTATATATGTTTTCATGTATGCATATGTGTGCTTGTTTGTATGTATATGTGTGTGCATATGTGTGTATGTACCTATGTGTGCATGTATTTGCATGTGTGATATGTGTATATGTGCTTGTGTTCATATGTATGCATGTAAACATATGCATGTGTGTGTGCATGTTTGGGGGGTTCTTGCCTCACACCCTCCCCCTATCACTTCCAACCCCCAGCACTGCTTCTGTGAACCGAGGCCTGGTGCTGCCCGCAGAGTCCCTCCACTCATGGAGCAGTATTCAGTGTGGTGGGGAATAAGCATCAATTGGTGCACATGGGCCGGCAGGCAGACTTCCCAAGGACTGACCTGGGCTGGTGTAGCAATACCCTGGCTCCCCGCCCCTGGCTGGACTAACTCTACATGTGTCCTACCCAGGCACCCTAAGGGTTCTGGTAAGTGCTGTGATGAAAAAGGAAGAGAAGGCAGGGTTGGCCAGAGGTGGTGTAAGCCTGTCATAGGCAAGGTGGATCAAGGAGGACTTCTTGTAGCAGGTGGCATTGGTGCAGATTTCTTCTTTTGTTTGTCTTTGGGTCGTGCCAGTGGTGCTCAGGGCTTACTCCCTGCTCTGCACACAGGGATTACTCCTGGCAGTGCTTGGGGGACCACATGTGATGTTCGGGATGGAACCTGGATGGTCACATGCAAGACAAGTTCTACCCACTGTACTATCTTTGGTACTCTGGCAAGGATAGATACTTGTAGATGGTGTAAAAAAAAAAAAAAACAGGGGCCCAGGGCTGGAGGGAGCTGGGAGCTGAAGTGTACAGAGACAGGAGAGGGATGGGGGAGAGAGCATCAGCAGGGAGGGGACCAACTGGTCAGGACTAGGGGGAACAGCAGGACCCAGACACAGAAAAAGGATTTTACCAGCTTCAATGAGATGACATCATCTGCAAGCCTGACAGAGTTCCCTGAGGAGAGCAAAGCAGCCAACACCCCGGTCACTGGCAAGCATGGTGGGGACGGGAACACCAGGACCACAAGACTGTCCATGGCAGTTGTTTAGGTCACGCCATCTGTGGCACAATAGGAGGATGGTGTGGGGGACTTCGGGGCTTTGTTTTACTGACTCAGATCTGAAAGCTCAAGTCTAGGATCAAAGAGGTCTTAAAAACGCAGACGAACTCAAAGGCTACTCCCCACAGAGAATGAATAAAAGTTAATTGATTGCAAATTGTGACAGAGGCGCCCCCAAAGGCCCTGGACACTTGGAAACTCACCAGGGGGTGGAGCCTACCCCAACCCCACCCACTCCTCCCTGCGGGGCCAATCACGTAGCTTGTCTTGGGCCAATCAGGGATGGCGGATGTGACGTCATGCCACCACTAAGCCTACCAACGAGGCTCGCTGGCTGGAGGCGAGGTCACGTGCTCTGGTCACTCGGGGCACGTGAAAGAAGACGTGCAGTCCAGCCAGCACGCAGGCACACTGGGGCTGAGACATGTGATTAACGACGGATGAAAGCTGCTGGGCTGTGGTGCTGAGAGGTGAGCTCGAAAAGTGGGTTCTGCCTTGGTGAGATTGGGGTGGGCCGCCCTGGGGACACGGATCACTTGGGCACAGGCTGCATCCGGGTGGGCCTGCTGCCCGCGAGCCTGCGCTCCCCGCCCATGCCCCACTCACCACGAACATGGGGCTGCGCCCTGGCACTCCTGCGTGCCCTCCGAACGTCCACGCTCACCGAGTCACTCTCTGGGTCTTGAGCCGTGCGGGCATCAGGAATGAAGAAGGTGGCCGGGAGCTGGGTGTCGTGCCCTTGGAACCAGGCTCCGGAGAGGGCGCCATCGAGACCGCCAGGCAGGGGCAGGTGGGCGCCGGCGCCTTGGCTGAAGGGGGTCAGCGACCCGGGGTTGGGCAGGTCGGAGGAGACGCAGCAGGCGCTGACCGCCAGCAGAAGGCCTTGGAGGAGGTGGGAAGAGAGAAAAGGAGACTTTTTCAGGTCTGGCGAGACCTTCCTGGGGTTGCCTTTGAGATCTGAACCATGGGAACGTAGACTCTATTCACAAAGGTAAGAGACTTTTGAAAAAGGGTACGAGTCTAACCAGGTAATCTGGGCCTTTTTATTTGACTCCCCGTTCCCCCCATCCCTTTTTCTTGCTGTTGAGAGATTGGAGGTCAGAGGTTGCACACAGTTGCTGTGTCCTGTGATCCCTGCGCTTGGTGGTGGGACTGGGGAGCCCACATGGCAGTGCTGGCCTTGAAGCACTTGTCTTGCATGTGGCAGACCAGGGTTTGGTCCTAGGCACTGCATACAGTCCCCTCTGCTGGGAGCGACCCCTAAGCACAGAATCAAGAAGAGCCCCTGAGCACTGCTACTGTGGCCAAGCCTCCCCCCCTCCCCATCCTCACCCCAATAAATAGAATGATCAAAACTTATGGCAGTGCTCAGGCTTTTGACAGACTGTACCAGAGTAAGCCCAGGCCCTAAAATAGGTTCTTTATTATGTTGTTGTTTTTCTGTTTGGGTGCCACACCTGGCAGTGCTCAGGGCTTAATCCTGTTTCTGTACCCAGGGGTCATTCTTGGCAGGTCTCGGGGGACCATCCAGGGTGCTGGGGATCAAACCCAAAACAGCCACAGGCAAGGCAAGCACTCTGCCCACAGTACTATTGTTCCAGCCCACTAGATTCTTCTTTTTTTTTTTTTTTTGGTGGGGGAGGAGGGGGTCCCTCAGCAGGGCTAACCCTGGTGGTGCTTGGAAGGTCAGGGGGTGCCGGAGATTGAATGGCGCCCTGTGGATGCCATCCATGATGCCCAGCCCTCTGAGCCTTTTCCTGGCCGCCCAAGCTAAGTTATTATTATTAAAAGGTAAAGGTAAATGTCCTCCCGTTGATCGTCGATTTGCTCGAGCGGGCCCAGTAACGTCTCCATTGGAGACTTTGTTGTTACTGTGTCTGGCATATCAAATACTCTCGGTAGCTTGCCGGGCTCTCCGAGAGGGGCGGAGGAATCGAACTCGGGTCGGCCATGTTGGCCGCTTGTAAGGCGAACACCCTACCGCTGTGCTATCGCTCCGTTATTATTTTACTTTGGTTTGTTTTCATTTTGAAGTCACACTCAGTAATGTTTAGGGATTGTCCTGGTGGGCTCAGGGCACCAGGTGGTTTGTCCTACAGATAGTAAGGAATCCAGTCCTTTGAACTGTCACCATCACAGGCAGATGCTGGGCTAGTCCTTTCCCCTCTTTAGTTGTCTTTTTGTTGTTTTCTGTTTGGGGTCACACCCAGTGGTGCTCTGGGCTTACTCCTGGCAGTGCTTGGGGACCATATAGAATGGCAGGGATCAAACCTGTGTCAGCAGCAAGCAAGGCAGGTTCCCTACTTGCTATGCGGTTGCTCTGGCCCCTCTTTACTAGTCTTTTACACACACACACACACACACACACACACACACACACACAGGCGCTTGCCCATACAACTGCATGCACTGCAGATTGTAGACTCCAAATGGATTAACTCTGGGGACTTTGGGATAATGACTCCCCCTCTCTGCCTCTCAGAGCCTCAGTCACCTAGACAATAAAATGGGGATAATAGTGTGGTCACCTTCAGTGACTCTTAACCAGGGACAATTTTATCACTCTGCTCATCTACCACCAAGTCCCACTGGACTTTGATGCAGTGACTGGCAATCTTCTTAGTCATCACATGTGTATGTTGATGTGTGTGTGTGTGTGTGTGTGTGAGAGTGAGAGAGAGAGAGAGACAGAGAGAGAGAGAGAGAGAGAGTCTGTATGTGTCTGAGTGTTGTTGATCTAGTTGTTAGAGTTTGAAGATGTCACAAACAACATTTCTTTTCCTTTTTAAAAAATTTTTTATTTATTTATTTTTGACTTTTTGAGCCACACTTGGTGATGCTCAGGGATTAACTCTTGCTTCTGTGCTCAGGACTCACTCCTGGTGATGTTTGGGGAACCATATGGGGTGCCAGGGATCAAGCCTGGGTCAGCCACATGCAAAGCAAGCTATACTTACCTGCTGTACCATGTCACTCTTCTTCCTTTTCCCTTTTGGCTTCCCAAGTGGAATTCAGAGGGCACAGGGGCTCCCTTAGCTGTTCTCAGACAACTGACAGTTCAATGCAGAGACCCAAGGCCATGGAAATATTTGGGTCCTGTGGTGCCAGAAACCACCAGGGTCCCCCTTGCAGTGCCCTGTTTCCTCCAAGGCAGAACTCATTGATGTCCATGGGGGTGGATATAGAGCTTGGGATCAAACCCGGTCCTGCCCTAACCCAGTGCTTCATCTCCAGCTCCCCAAATCTCCTTCCTAGACTGTGGATCAAGAATATGAGGGAGGGGTCAAGAAAAATTTTGCAACAGAAAGTTTTTCTGAATAAGAAGCAACTAGAAAAAAAATTAAAAATCTGCCTTTTCATGCATCCTAGCTGTTTCTGGCACCACTGGACCCTATTGCATCTGTTAGGTGAAAAGGGGGTCTCAGCTCCAAGTGGAAAAGGTTTAAGCTGACCTGGTCCCTCTTAACAAGGGATTCTTTAGCCCAGAAGGTTAGTGATGTCAATGTGAAATAGCCCTGATGCAAAACAATACAATGCTTTGAAGTACTTTGAGCAGGGCTGGAGCAATATAGTACAGCAGGTAGAGCATTTGCCTATATGTGGCTGCAGGTTCAAGCCGCTACACTCCATAGGATCTCCCAAGCACTGCCAGGAGTGATCCCTGAACACAGAGCCAGGAGTCAGATCTGAAACAAACAAACAAAAAAAGGTTTCAAAAATAAATTGAATTAAAGATAAAGTAATTTGAGGGGCTGGAGTGATAGTTTAGTGGTAGGGCACTTGTCTTGCATGTGGCTGACCCCGGTTCAATTTCCAGCATTCCATACGGTCCCTCAAGCAATACCAGGAGTGATTATTGAGTGCAGAGCCAGGAATAACTCTGAGCACCACTGGGTGTGCCTCACCCCAGAAAAAAAAAAGTACTTTGAACAGTGTCCTGAGAGATGGTCTCCAGAAAAATGCCATATCGTAATGAGCCTTTGATCATGCTGGGTCCATAGAAGTAGGGTGGGCACATTGTAAATATGCCCTTTGAGATAAAAGGGCAATAGAAGAAGCTGTTTGCATGAGCAGGATCAGAAGTTCCCATTTGGAAAACAGCTGTGACCATGTCAGCTTGGTTCTGGCAACCGAGCAGGATCACCACTGCTGGGCGTGGCATTAAACAGCATATAAACAGTCTGGCAGGCTCTGGAGAGGGGTGTGTGGGTCTCAGAGTGGGGTGGGGCTCCTTGGGAACTACTGACTGTCAGGGACTGTGCCAGACATTCCCCCTGCCATCAGCTCCACCATCCCCTCCACATGGCTGAAGTTGGCCACAGGCAGGGAAACTGAGGCATGGCAAGCTTGAATTTTAGATCCAAGAGTCTAAGGGGGATGGATAAGAAGTGCATGCTGGTAAAGGTAAAGATAAAGGCCCTCCCGTTGATCGTCGATTTGCTCGAGCGGGCCCAGTAACGTCTCCATTGGAGACTTTGTTGTTACTGTGTTTGGCATATCGAATACTCTCGGTAGCTTGCTGGGCTCTCTGAGAGGGGCGGAGGAATCGAACTTGGGCCGGCCATGTTGGCCGCTTGTAAGGCGAACGCCCTACCCGCTGTGCTATCGCTCCAGCCCTGGTAAAGGAATAAATATGATAGCCTCTGAGTATCTGTATTGTAAACCATAATGCCCAAAAGGAGAGAGAGAGAGAGAGAGAGAGAGAGAGAGAGAGAGAGAGAGAGAGAGAGAGAAGAAAAGTGCCTTCTGTTGAGGCATGCAGGGGGTGGGGGTTGGGATGGGCTGGAGGGAAACTGGGGGCATTGGTGGTGGAAAATGCACGCTGGTGAAGGGATGGATGTTGGAACAGTTGTATGACTGAAACCCAATCATGAACAGCTTTGTAACTGTTTAACTCATGGTGGTTCAATTTTTAAGAATAAATTAATAAATATACAATTTTAAAAGTTTAAATGTAAAACAAACAAAACTAATAAAAAAGAACCTTGTTCCATTCGAGGTGCCCTGTCATCCTTCCGACCAGCCCCAACTGCTATGCGCTGGGCCCCACCGCTGCCTGACTCATGGGCCAGAGGAGACAGGCAGCGTGGCTTTGGGGGAGGGCACCCGAAGTATATGGGACAGTGAAGATGAAGAGACCAGTGGACGCTGCAGAGAGTAGAGGGGCTGAGACGGGACTTTGGACCAGGGGTGGGGCTTAGGGCCAGGGGCCGGGCGTGGGGCTAGCCATTTCTAGGGTTGGGGCCACAGCAAAGGTGTCTGTGGGGTTCCCAGGGACCAGGGCCTGGGCAGTCTTCAGCCACCCACTTCCTGGCACTTCGGGAACCATCTCTGGTGACAAGAACCCTGAGCACCCTCCACTCTGGGGGTGTTGTCTCCTGAGCCCCAGCAAAACCAAAATTCTTGCCCCCACTTCCCAAGCCCTGCAGACAAGCTGAGACTTTCCTGGCCTGGTTCTTGCTCATCACCCCGGTGCCCAGAGCGGAGGGGCACTGGCGCAGCTCTGTAGAAAAAGACTGGCACGAGAGAACTAGAAACAGGGCCCCGGATGGCCGCGGCCCACCTGCAGCAGGAGCTGGGGGAGGTGCATTGAGGTTCGAAGCTGCCTGAATTTAGGGTTGTGCCATGTTACTGAACTGGGTTTTTTTTTTGGGGGGGTGTATATACCCAACAGTGCTCAGGACTCATTTCAGGCTACGTGCTCAGGGGTCACTCCTGGTAGGCTCAGGGGACAATATGGGATGCAGAGAATTGAACCTGGGTCAGCCTCATGCAAGGCATGCCATTTACCTGCTGTACTATCTAGCCCCAAACTGGATTTTTAAAAGTGGATAGCTGGCCGGAGAGATAATAAGAGAGTCTGGTGCTTCCTTGCATGCAACTGACTCCATTTTGATCCCAGGAACTGTAGAGGGTCCCCAGAACATTGCCAGGAGTGATCCTTGAGCACAGTCAGGTGCGGCCCCCCCAAACCCCCCCCCACACACACACCAACAATCCCCAAACAAATAAAAGTGGATAGAAAAAGGCTTCTTGGAGAGGTGGATGCATGTGGTCTGGAGAGTATGGCCTTAGAGTCAAATCCTCTTTTTGCTACTTCCAGCCTTGTGGCCTAGGGAGAGCAGTGTGCCTCAGTTTCCCCTGCGATGGAATGGGACTCACATAGCACTGCTGGGAGTGATCTCTGAGCATAGGTGGCTGTGCCCTGTAGGATTAAAGTTCTAAGCATTCTAAGAAGTAACATTGGTTGGTCCTTGCGCCTCCCGCAGGGAGCTTAGATTTATGAATTACACCCAGTGTAGTGCTCCTGAGGCACACCCAATTCCATAGGGCACTCCCAGTCCTCTGTGTTTCTCTTTAACTTCTCCTTTGTGTTCTTCTTCCCCTGTTAGTCACAAATACCCCCAAATCAGATCCTGTAACCTGTAGGTCAAATCTTCTGAGGGCTCTGGATTTTGTATATGTCAGTGAAATACTGCTTTTCTCTTTCCTTTGTATCCTTTGCATAGTTTAGAACATGTCCCCACATGTAGATGTTTGTCTGTATCTTCCTGTATAGACACAGAAAGTCAGTGCTATGCTTTTTTTAACTTTGGAGTTAGTTGACTGAAAAATATTTACTCCTGGGCATTCGTCACATTTACTTGACTTAAGCCTCCATTGCCCTTACTTCTTAACACCCCCAAAAGGAGGGTCCTGGAAAGGGACTTGGATGGACTCAGGGCAAGCTGTAAGCCAACATAAAAAGGAGACAGGCTAAGCACAATAGAAGTAAAATAAGTTAAGAGCATGGTCATGGAACAAACTCTCTTGTCACCCAAAAAGAGGTAACTGAGTAAGGACCCTCTGGGATTAGGAAAGACTAACCTGGCCTGAGGACTGTAGTCTGGGATCTATAGCGAGATGTCCCCAGGAGAGACACCCTTTAAGCTTAATATAGCTCTTACTGTGTCCATACAAAATGACTAGAAATATTATTAAGAAGTAAATTTAAGATGATTGTTTAAATGGATACTGGCTAAGGAGAGGAGAAAGCAATACACCCTAGATGGAATTCTGCCCTTGGGCAGGTATCCTAGCATGAATCTAGAGTGCTGAGAACCTATATTAGATTTGTCTTTGAGTATATATCCTAGAAGAACTTCCCCTGAAGGAAAGACTTTACATATGTTCATTGTTTATGACAATGTTCTACCACACCTATGTGTGTGGGTATGGTAGAACATTGCTACCCCAGCCCTTCATGATTTCTCTGTAGTTAATGCTGTGAGACTTGAATAAATGGCCACTGATTACCAACCTGCCTGGTATCCCCCATTCCTTCATTCACCCATCACCATCAGCCAGCCAGGGGGACAGTGATTCGGTCCCAAAAGCATCAAGTGGACCCTCAGGTCACCGTGGGCAAGCCAGTGATCATCCCAAGAACAGTGACTGTGCCCCCAAACAAATAATTTAATATGAAACTATTTAGAGCCCAGAGGGATTGTGCAGAGGCTTCAAGCAGGTGCCTTGCAAGTGTTTGATCTGAGTTCAAATCCCTGATGCCCCAAATGTGCCCTACATTTAATCCTGGCAGCTCAACCACCTGTGATCCCTAATCCCTGAGAGCATTCCAGAGTATTGGAATTAAATGTAGCACTGTAGCACTGTCCTCCCGTTGTTCATCTATTTGCTTGAGCGGGTCCAGTAACGTCTTCATTGTAAGACTTGTTGTTTTGTTGTTACTGTGTTTGGCATATCGAATACCTCACGGGGAGCTTGCCAGTCTTTGCTGTGCAGGCGAGATACTCTCGGTAGCTTGCGGGGCTCTCCGAGAGGGGCAGAGGAATCGAACCCAGCTTGGCCGGGTCGGCCACGTGCAAGTCAAATGCCCTACCACTGTGCTATCGCTCCAGCCCCGGAATCAAAGAATCAAATGTAAGCATTTTTTAAAAAAGGGTGGGGTGCAGAGGCTAGAGTGATAGCACAGCAAGCAGGATGCTTGCTTTGTACGCGATTCACCCATATTTCATCCTTGGCACCTCATCTGGTTCCCTGAGCCTTGCAAGGAATGATCGCTGAGCACAGAGCCTGGATTAAGTCCTGAGCATAGCGGGTGTCCCCAAAACAAACAAAAAAAGGGTGCAACTCCTTTGGAGCTGCACAACTAAAGACACTGACACGCTGAGCCAGGAATTGAGCACCACAGCCAAGAGGATGACCCTTGATGAGCAGGTGTACAAATAAGGGGATGCAAGCCCGGGTGAGCACCATGACTGAGGGTGCAGGCACTACAGCCTGATGTGCCTGCGACCCTGGGCATCACCACAGTAAAAAATAAGTGTCTGGGCAGGAGAGATAGTACAGTGGGTAGGGCGTTTGCCTTGCACACAGCCAATCTGGGTTCAATCTACATCCCATATGGTCCCCCAAGCACTGCCAGGAGTAATTCCTGAGTGCAGAGCCAGGATAACCCCTGATCATCACTGGGTGTGACTCAAAAAGAAAAAAAAATAAGTGTCAACACCTCCTCCCATCTGAGGTGCAACTTGGGGAAGGGGAGCTTGAGTCTGGCGCCTTAGACCACTCAGTCATCCTGACACCCTTGAGGTGCAACTTGGAATCCTCACCAAATGACAATGGAAACGGCAAGGGGAGAGGAAAAATACCTTAAAAAAAAAAAAGTAGTGGGCCATGGACTTGCATGGCTTAGAAGATTAGAGCTCATGCCTTGAAATCGAGCATCTTGAGTTTGATCTCTGCACTGCATGGTCTCCCAGCATTGCATGGAGTGACCCCTCCCCACCTCTCAGTACAACTGGGAATGGTCCCAGAGAAGCAAACCAAAAAAGCACTTAAGGGAAGCTTGCACGCGGAAATCCTCCGTCTGTATGATGGCTAAGTGCCTGTTACTAGACACCCCCCCCCCCGCTCCCCTTCCCCCCCATCCTCATTGAGTGTGGTGGGCCCCAATAGACCAGGAAACCCAGGATGCTCTGGGAGCCAGGAGGCAGTTGATCCTGATTCTGATACTTCTCGGGCCAGCTCTGTGTTTTGGAACCAGTAAACCTCTCACGTCCCTGAGCCCCCCCGCCCCCCGCGCCCCCTTTTTTTGGCGAAAAAAGGTCAACAGCATGGTCCCTTGCAGCTGCCGAGTGCCTGAGCTTTTCATAGTCCAGTGTCGAACTCGGATGCGGCTTATCAGACGTCCTGGGCGTCCTCTCCCGCTTCCCGGCCCTTGGGGGGACCCCCTGTCCCTCACGCACCTGTGAGATGCAGCCGCTTCCAGGCAGGGCTGGAGCCGTAGTAATCTGCAGCTTCCAGAGACCTCCACATGCCGTGATCAGTCCAGGGACAGAATGAGCCCGGGCTGGGAGGAGTATGCAGCCTGGCCTCGCCCCGCCCCGCTCTGGCCCCGCCCAGTCTCGGCCCAGGCTCCAGCTATTGGCTGCGATGTTGCCTCCAGCCCTCCCCCTTCTCTCTAAGAACCTATAGAAGTGGCGGGTGGGGAGTGGGCTGGGCCAGGGCTCCAGCTCAGGGCGCTCCCGACTCTGCTGGGGCTGGCAACAGGAAGGGAGGGGACAGAAGATGCAGATGGTGGGGACCAATTCTCCTGCTCCTCGTCCCATTAGCTGCAGGAGCAAAGGCCAAAGGTCCTCAGGAAAGAGGGAACAGCGCTGATCCAGGAGTTTGCTCGCCGTTCTCTAACAACCAAGCCACGAGTCTCTGTTTACACTCCCATTGATGAGTGGGATTGTAAAGAGAAGTGCTCCTTCGGGAGAGAGAGGGGCGGTGAGGTGCCACCCTGTGCAGCGTTGGACGTATAGTGGGTGCCGAGTGAATGAATGGCGACAGCTATCAAAATCATGCTTATTGAGGACGCAGCGATATACAGCGGGGAGGGCGCTTGCCTTGCATTTGGCCAACCTGGGTTCTATCCCCACCATCCCATATGGTCCCTTGAGCCCCTCCAGGAATGATACCTGAGTGCAGAGCCAGGAGAAAACCCTGAATACTTCCAGTTGTGGTCCTTTACCTATTTTCAACATTCAGTGCCTATGGGCCGGAGCAATATTACAGTAGGTAGAGTGTCTACCTTGCATGCGCTGACTTGGGTTCGATCCCTCTGCATCCTATATGGTTCCTTAAGCACCACCAGGAGTAATTCCTGAGTGCAGAGCCAGGAGTAATTGCCTGAGCATTGCCGGTGTGACCCAAAAACAAACAAAAGAATTCCCAGTCAACATTCAGTGCCTGTCCAAAGTGATCACTTCCAACTATTATTATCATACTGATCCCTTCTCTATCCTAACTGTCTTTCACCCCTCACATACTGTGGCAAACTTCCAACCATTGACCAGTCCTTCTGGCTCCTGTTTTTCCTGACCTTAGTATAAGGTCAGGAAAAATTCCTTTCCTTAATTAGTATATTAATCTAATACTGTTGTTTTTATATCCCACAAATGAATGTAGTCATTCTATATCTGTCTCTCTCCTTCTGACTCATTGTACTCAGCATGATAATCTCCATGTCCATACATTTATAAGCAAATTTTACGACTTTAGTTTTCCTAACAGCTGCTCAGTATTGCATTGTGTAGTTGTACCATATTTTTCTTTACACAGTTGTCTGTTCTCAGGAACTCAGGTTTTTTTCCGGATTCTGGCTATCGTGAATAGTGCTGCAATGAACATAGAAGTGCAGGTGATGTTTCTGCTGCGTGTTTTGGTCTCCTCCTTTGGTTATTTCTGGGTCAAATGGGAGCTCAATTTCTAATTATTTGAGAAATGCCCATATTGTTTTCAAAAAAGACTGGAGCAGTTGGCATTTCCACCAACAATGAATGAGAGTTTTTGTTCCTCTCCCTGCATCTGCGCCAGTGCTGGTTGTTCTTATTCTTTTCGATGTGTGCCAATCTCTGTGGTCTGAAATGGTATCTCATTGTTGTTCTAATTTGCATCTCCCTAATGATTAGTGATGTAGAGAATTTTTTCCTGTGCCTTTTGGCTATTTGGATTTCTTCTTTGAGGAAGTTTCTGTTTATTTCTTCTCCCCATTTTTTGATGGGGTTGGATTTTTTTATGGAAAAAATATTTCTTATTGCTTGGCTAATAAAGTCAAAATGTTGGTCTCTTGTTGCTCCTTTCCTGCTGTATCTGTCTGTCACAGGCTTCATCTACCCAGGAGGGAGACCAGCTCTGAGTTTCCCTGACCAGTTGTAGAAAGTTAAAGGGTTTTGACTGGGAATTTATTGGCTCACCATTAGGTATTCCTCCTCCTGGAGGTGCCTTCCCATGCTATGAAGCTGAAAAACTTTGATTTAACAGCCCCACCTCTGTTCAAGCAAGGGGTCTGCTGATATGACATATAAGAATGTAGGAAGTGACTCAGAGACTCAGACTGTCTCTGCCACTTACTTTGCCATAACAATTGAGGAGGGGGGCCTTGTTTCTCTTGGGCTCCTCTGGGTACAAGCTCTGTGTGTGTAAGTGCACATGTGTGTGTGTGTTTATACATGTGTATATGTGTTTATGCATGTGCATGCATTGCGTGTGCATGTGCATATGTGTATTTGCAGAGAGGCTGTTCCCTGCATGTTCCCAGCCAGTGCGGTGTGGTTCAGTCTGCAGACCAGGTGGGGCAGTTCTGGGTTTCCCCACCTTTCCAGGATGCATAGGCACGAGCTCCCCAGGAGGGTCCATCCTGCAGCCTTGGGCCACTCAGAGGGCCAGAGGGACTCAGTGATCTTCTTCTCAGTAAGAAAGAACCAGCACTGACCTAGCCCATTTTCCCCATGGGTCAGTCTACTCTGCCACTGAGTGAAATGAATACAGGTGGGCACCCAAAAATGTCACAGGGCCAGCGTAGCTGAGATGGGGAACTGTGGCTCTGCAGGACTGCCGATGCTTCCTGGAAGCGGAGGTGGGTGCAGGACTGCCGATGCTTCCTGGAGGCAGAGGCAGGTGAGCACTCTAGGGGTGTGTGTGCATGTCCAGAGGAGCAGTGCTGGATCTCCTATCTCTGGACAGCAGTTTTCTGGAGGGACACTCCATCCATAGCTCTGAGGGTAGCAAGTAAATGCTGGATAGGCCCCCGGGGGGTGGGAGGGTGTGAGTCAGGCAGAAACCTTGCCCAGGGTGGGGCAGGAATAATTGTTCTCCTGTTAAGAAGGGAGAGGCCAGGGTCGCCAAGGAGAATAACAGCTCTCATGGGCTTGCACCTGCTCCTCAAGAGCACCTGCCCAGCCCTGCTGCCATCAGAGCAGGCCCACTGTTGGCAGAAACCCTGTGTATCTCAGGGTTGGAGATACAGCCTACCCTTCCCCCCATACCCTCATCAACCACATCTTTGTCAAAGAAATAGGTTTTGGATGCACCCCCACCACCCACTCCCGATATCCATATATTATTATTCTTTGGTCCTTAAAACCTCAAATTTTATGAAATGAAAAAAAATGGGGGGCCGGGATGATAGTACAACAGGGAGGGCATTTGCCTTGCATGCAGCCGACCTGGGTTTGATCCCCAGCATCCCATATGGTCCCCCAAGCACTGCAAGGAGTGATTCCTGTGTGCAGAGCCAGGAGTAACCACCGAGCATTGCCAGGTGAGACCCTCCCCTTCCAAAAAAAAGCAAAAAATAAAAATAAAACAAAATCTGAGGGGAGGCGGCAGAGCAATAGTACAGCAGATCCGGCGCTTGTACCAGTCAACCTAGGTTCAGTCCCCGGCACTGCATAAGCCCCCCGCTGAATCCCTTCAGCAGTAACCTCTGAGTGCAGAGCCACGACTAAACCCTGAGTATTGCCCAAAAACCAAAAAGAAAAAAGAAAAAAAAATTTTGAGCTTCTCAAGACAGTGGTTTGGTGCAAGAGCCCAAGGAGGCGATGGTGCTTGGGCCCACGGTGTAGGTATCTGGCTCACTTCCTGGCAGTGATGGGGGCCTCAGGGGCTGCTCCTGGCACTACTCTGGGGACCAGGGAGGTTGGGGGGACTGGGAATTGAACCCAAGGCAGATGCATACCAGGCTGGTGTGCTAAGTGTCCTGGACACTTATAGTGTCCTGTTCCTCACTACAGCCTTGCCTTCTTTACGATCCCAAGATATGGAAACAGCCCAAATGTCGAATCATGGAGGGATGGATAAAAAATGGGAGTCCATTTACCCCCACTCACAACGAGATCCCATTCAGCCATTCCAAAAAAAAAAGTTAAGTTCTTGTGACAAGTTTGAACCCTGAGATCTCTTTCTCTCTCTCTCTCTCTCTGTCTCTCTCTCTCTGTCTCTCTCTCTCTCTCTCTTTCTCTCTCTGTGTGTGTGTGTGTGTGTGTGTGTGTGTGTGTGTGTTATGGAGCCACTTTCAGCATTGCTCAGAAATATGCTCAGGTACTCAGGAAGGTGTTCAGGGCCACTCCTGGAAGTGCTTGAGGGATCGGATGGGATGCCTGGGATCGAACCTAGGTTCGAACCCAGTGCAAACACCCCCCACACTGTACTATCACTCCCACCCCCAAACCCCTGAAATCTTTATACTGCATGAAATAGAGATACAGTTGCTGTCCAAGCTCACATCCACACCACGTCAGGTCCTTTGGTACCACCAAGCGGCTCATCGAAGCAGAGAGCAGATTGGAGATTGCCAGAGGTGGATGATGGGAGAAATGGGCCTAAGGGTGCCAGAGGGTCGTGGCCTCCAGTTGTCAAACAGGTAAACCTGGGGTGGAATGTACAGCATGGAGACAGAGCTCATGCCTAGTGTACATCTGAAAGATGTTAAGACCGTTGGTGTTTTGAAAATTTTACTTTTACTGCAGTATCATCATTGCAGTATTTGGGTGGGGGCCCACACCGGCTATGCTCAGGGCTTACTCTTGGTTCTGAGCTTAGGGATCCCTCCTAGAAGGGTTCAGGAGACCCTAAGGGTTGCCAGCAATTGAATTCAGGTTGGCCATGTGCAAGGCAAGTGCTTACCCACTGTACAATCTCTCTGGACCCTGCATTCATTGTCTTAGTGTTCCAAGACCCCTACATCAATCTCTCTACCAGTGTTTCACTTAATCACTTAACTTCCCGTTAGTCGTCGATTTGCTCGAGCGGGCGCCAGTAACGTCTCCATTTGTCCCTGTCGCGTGCTAGTGTAGCCCAATGGCATCTCTTCGCTCCGGGAACATGGAGGGCCTCAAACCGATCGTTCATGATCTTGACAAAGAAGTCTGACCATCTGGTAGGTGGGCGGCCACGCGGTCTCTTGACATCCCGTGGAATCCAATCAGTAACAGCTCTAGTCCAACGGTCGTCTTTAAATCTCATTACGTGACCAGCCCATCTGATTTTCG